GTTTTCTCATATGTTAAGTGGCAATAATTACAAGATATACATTGGAGTGTTTTAACTAAAAAAACACGTTAAGTATTAAATGTTCAAAATGTGTCTGATATTTCCCGTTGCATAAAATTTTATGTATTATGTATTTACGTATTATGTATTATTAAAATTTTTTAATGGAGTGAATCTTTATAGATTTTTATGTGATTTCTTGATTTCAATTTTCTTAACAGAAACAATATAAATAAAAAACTTATTCTTCAGATAACCTTTGTGGGGGGGGAAGAGTATCTGGGACCACAACCAGTGGTACTCAGCTAATTGGGTGGGTGAGTTCAATGCATGGGCGACCAGTGTAACTGTGGTGATACTCAGGGACCAATAGGGCTACACCCTTGGTAGCGCTCCAGGAGCCATATGGTACCAATGATCACTCAGGTGATACTCTCTGGGCTAGCTCCTTAGCCCCAGATACCCAGTTCTTACCACTTAATAATCCATGCTCTTGTCACTAATTTGAAATGCCATTATTATTAGCAAATCTCCCAAATATAACATGACAACTATTTCTGACCTCTGAATTAGAAAGAAATTATCAAAAACTGTCATGCATATAGCAGAGATGTCACACTGTCACTGTCCTCTCGTTGTTCATCGATTTGCTTGAGCGGGCCCAGTAACACTGTGAGACTTGTTACTGTGTTTGGCATATCGAATACGTCACGGGGAGCTTGACAGGCTTTGCCGTGCGGGTGAGATACTCTTGGTAGCTTGCGGGGCTCTCCGAGCAGGGCGGAGGAATCGAACTCGGGTGGGCCATGTTGGCTGCATGCAAGGCAAACGCCCTACCCGCTGTGTTATCACTCCAGCCCAGCACAGATGTAACCATCCATAAATAAATGAGTAGCCATGTTCCAACAGTCACCATAACTTGAACTTTATATATAAATTTTTATGTCAGAAAGAATTTTTAAAAAGCATTAAAAGTGCAACAGCCACTCTTAGATCACAGATCATACTAAAATAGCATGGTCAGTTAAGTTTGGCAATCCATGCTCTAATCTATCTATCTACACATATATGTATATATGTGACTAATTTTTTTAATATTTCTAAAGTTCTACAAAATAAATACATGTGATAAAAGGTTAAAAATGATATGAGGAAATACAATAAAACCTCTCCTATTCCAAAATTCTGTTCCCCTCTCCAAACTTATTGGCATCATTAAACATCTCAACACAAATGGTCTTATATGTATGAAACTGTCCACATATTTTAATTGCTTAATAAAACCTCAGAATTGAAACTGCTAGGTTAAATTCCCTCTAGGTATTCACTTCAACATGTATTGGTCATTTCAAAGCCATCGCTTTTCTTAGTTTTCCATCATGCCCTTTCCCATTTCCCCCTTTCCTGATCAACCTTAAAATCACATTAAAATTTTGTTCCAGAGGTTCGGTTTTAAAGTTTTATCTGGCTTATGAATAAATTTCTTAGTATTACGTTAAATTTCTTAGCTATAGCTATTAATGCTTTGAAGTTGAAAGATAAGTTTACTGCTTTTTGTTCACTATTTCTTAAATTCCACATCCAGTTTTTGAGATTAATTTTTCATTTTGATATAATATCCTGGGGTATTAGTGGTAGACTAAAAATGGCTTTGCCACTATTTTGAATGACAGTAATAAGATTATGAGTTCAAAATGTAAACCAGGTGCACTTTTAAACATGGCTCCACAATCATCTAATATTCCATGTCCTACATAAGTCTAACTGAAAGTCTGATTTCCATACCTTAATACACTGACACAGACACCAGCCCAGTGCTGCAATTTGTTAAGCCACATCCAAATGTGAGCCACCTTGGTAGGCACAGAGGTCAATATGTAAAATAGGTAAATGTATGTTTTCTTTGGGAGTTTAAGATTGTGTACTTATCCACTAAGTAAACAGATTTCCTCAGAATGTATCCTGAAATGTCTACCGTTCGTCCCCACGCCCCCTAAATGGGATCTTCCCTAGCAGTGCTCAATAGCCCAAAAGGCCATTTCCAAGGTACTCTGTGCAATCTGATGTTTGGGGAGCTCAGTCAGAAGTGCTGTGTGCCATAAAAAATGTACCCTGAAGTGTTGGGTTCCCTAGCTAAGGTACTCTGAGGTGCATGTTGGCACCAAGATCAAACCAGGAGCTTCACACTGTGCAAGGTATGTGCTCCACCCTTTTGAGCTATCTCCTCCCATCAATATTCTTTTAAGACTCAGTCTATTCTATTCATAAACTCTTAACTCTGCTCAGAGAATTCTTTTCTTTTTTTCCTTGATGTATATTGTTTCCGGTCTTCTTTAAGGTAGAAATGCAAAGTCTGACATGTAATGTTGTACGAGCAGAAGAATGGGGAACAAGCTCTATTAGCATAACCAGCAACCCTCAACCTGCCACATCTTTTCACAAACTCTTTGAAAAGGTATACTTTGTCATCTCTTTTACTGAGGAAGGAACAAGAAGACAAAAGAGGGCAAGGTTGATTTACAGCTGTCAGTACTTGTGTCCTGTTTGTCTGACTCTGGCTGCCCAAACTCTGGACACTCCCACCCTCATGACTTTTGTTATCTCTGTGAGGCTTTCTTCTTTCTCAATTTTTTCCCTTTTCTTTTTCTGTTTTTGAGCCACACCCAGTGGTGCTTAGGGCTCACTCCTGGCTCTGTGCTCAAGGATAACTCCTGGAGGGGTCAGGGGACCATACTGGACCTCAGAAATTGTACCCAGATTGGCAGTGTGCAAGACAAGCACCTAACCACTGTACTATTGCTCTGGTTCCTCCTCTTTCAATTTCTATTCCATGCTACAATTCTCATTAGAGGTACATTAGCTTTCTGGCTCCAGTTTTCATGACATAACCATTCTTTTCTAAGTGTCAATATTCAACAACTGTTTTTTTTGGGGGGGGGGGCAGTTTATTTATGTTCAGTAGGTATAATGCCCTCACAAACAGGTATTTCAAAGTTTTATTTGTCTTACATTAATCCATTGCTTCAGGGTTTAGTACTAGTTTTGAAAAAGACTGGAGCACTCCTTGCATGCTATTGATTTCCCATGTTTAGTGATTTCTGTAGTGGGATTCCTTGATAAACGTCTCAATGTCTCCATACAAGTGCACATCACAGTACTCCAGTAATATATTCACCTGTATTCACCTCCGTTACTAACCCTATAATTCAAATGTACATTTACGCCCAGTACTTGTAACAGTAACAATGTAAGATCTCTAACAGGCAATCCCAGGATTCCTCAATCCATTTAGTCATATCCGTTTGATGTTTCATTTCCCTTAACAACCACTAACTTGAGTAACAATTCTTATGCAAGTAATATACAAGCTTCAGGGACAGATCATCACTGAAACCAACAGACTGGTAAATTACTAATGACATTCCCATAGAGGACTGTCATTTAAATGCAAACTAAAGGGGAATAAATTATGATACTTTTTTAAAAAAAAAACAAACTAATTTTTAATATAATAGAAGAGGGCTAGAGAATCCCTCTAAGGGTTGGTGTCATGCTTGGCATGCTGGAGGACAGTGCTTGGAGTGGGGGGTGGGGCGAGCACTGCCACTCCCCAAACCAACCAAACAAAAAGTTAAAATAATCCATTTTTGGTAAGAGATAGTACGACAATAGGGTTTCTGCCTCCCACGAAACTGATCGCGCTCATTCCTGGCACCCCACCTGGTCCCAAGAGCACCACCAGGAACCAGCCCTGGCACAAAGCCCTGAGCACCGCTGGTGTATAGTCCCCAAATAAAAATACATATAAATCCATTTTTATGAAAGGTTAAAACAAATTTCCAACTTTCCACAAAAGAGAAATGGATCATAAATATTCACCAAGCCATTTATCAGAATGTTCCTCGTATTCTCCAAAACACATGCTGGAAACACAAATATCCCTCAATAGGTGAGCACAGACGCTTCACTCGACAACGGAAATACGGTCTGGCAAACGCCTCGCCGGGCAACTCGTCGTGCATATGCCAAGGTGCGCGGCACGGCCCGCCACCGGATGGGCGACAACACGCCGGGGTACCTACGGGGCCCCATCGACCGACGTCCTCACACACGGCACGACCGTGAGCCGTACCGGGGACTTCGGCACCGCAGCCAACACCAGCGAACCACTGACCCTCGAGGCATCCCGGTGCCAATGCGCCGAACTGCTCGCCCGCTGGTTCCCAGAAAGCCCCCACGGACAATGCGGGTGACAGAAACCCGAGGGAGACCAGGGCCCCGGTCTGACAGCCTCGCAAGGCGCCGAGGGGGCGCGGAGAGGACGGAAGTCGGTTCCCCGGGATGCCCTGGTCCCCCGGGTCAGTTCCCCGGGCCGGGCCGGGCAAGGCTGATGAGGGCGATCGACGGCCGCGTCTCTGACACGTGAGAAGGGAGGGGTCGGGCAGCGGCGGCGGGGGGCTTTCAGACCACCAGGAACCAGGACCCCGGGGGCCAGCGGCCTCCGCCGCGGGCTCGGCGTCAAGCGCAGGCGGGGGGCGCCGGGCTCGGGGCCGGACCGAGCGCCCACTCTGCCCGAGTAACGGCACCACCGCCGGCGCCCGCGACGAGGCCCGGACGGGCGAGGTCCGAGGGGGCGCGGCGGGTCCGAGGGGGCGCGGCGGCACCCGAGAAGGGGGTTTTCAACACCGAGGGGGCGCGCGGCTGACCCAAGTCCGTCCCTCGAGAGGAGCTGGGAAGCGGCGGCGAGCTGGTTAAGGAAAAAAGTGGCAAAATAAAACTCACGCCAGCCAACGGTCTCCGGCAGCAGCGTGCTTTTTTTTTTTTTTCTTCTTTCTTTCCGAGCTGCAAAACCGCGGCTTCTCCGGTTCCCTAAGCAAGGGCCTGTCCGTGACGCGACCCCGGGGAGAAGCGGCCCCTCGGAGGGCTCGTCCCGAGGGCTGACCCCCCTACAGCGCCCCCCGCCGACCAGCGCCTCGGCGCGGGCGACGCTGCGTACTCACCGCGCTCACTCGTCACGCACGGCGGCGGCCGCCCAGTCGCCTCCGCCCTCGCCTCGGCCGCGAGCACACCCGGGCGGCGGCGCCCCGCGCGCCTCGGCCGCTGCCGGCCTCAGCACCCACCCCCGGGGCGCGCGGCCGAGCCGACAGCCGCTGCTTCCGGCGCGCGTGAGGAAATGAGGCCGCCGTTGCGCGCCCCGCCCCGCCCCGCCCGCCCGCGCCCCGCCCACGCCCCGCCGGCCCCGCCCACGCGCGGTGCCAGGCTTGGAAAGTTGCCTTAGAAACCGCTTTAGGTCGTCAGTTCTTCGTTCGAATCGTCCGCATGGCTCCAAGCACCGGCTTGTGGAAGTCGGGAGGCTGTGCGAGAACGGAAGTCGCTCCGGCCTTCGCGAGCGTTTGAAGACCCCAAGGATCACCAGCTCTGGGTGGTCTCTGGGACCGGACTGGTCCTGGGATGGAAGCAAGATCTCTCGCAAGTCCGGCCACGGGAGTCCGATGAGCGCCTCGACCTGAGCCGGGCAGGTCACCGGAGTGCCTGAGCTCCTGGGGAGTGCTGGCTAGTCACTCCGTTTCTCTGGGTGCGAGTTTCCTTCACTGAGAAAGAAGGGAATCGAGTTATACGTTCTGGGAAATGGCTGGGAGACTGGACAGCATCCGATTTTAGTGAGTGGAAAACGAGTCTTACCTGACTTATTCCAAGGATGTCACCGAAGCACTTTGTACAATCCTGGGGATTAACGCCCTGCAGGTGGGAGCAGGTCAGGCAGCCCTTCCCTATGTGGTTGCATTTGATTAAAACACACACACACACACACACACACACACACACACCTCTGGGGTGCGACTTCCACTTGCCTCTGCCTCCTGCCACCCTGCTTTCATTTCTGGGTGACCTTGGCAGGCTGTCTGGGCGTAGCCACTCCAAGCCTCCCTTTTTCATAGCTGTGTGTGAACCGTCACAATAGCACGTGCTTCCTATGACTGTGTTGAGGAGCAGACGCAGTTTCTAGTGGAAGATTTTTTGGGCGGCGGGGGGTCAGGGAGTAGAAAGGAGCTCAGTATCATGGCTAAGAGTATTAGAGCCCTGGTTCTCAAAGCTGACTGAACAGATTTACTTTTGTGAAGCCTGGGTCCCATCTTCAGATGACACTGATGTGGTCATTACCATAGTGGTCTGCCCCTCAACCATGTTGTTAGGAATATCAATAATAGGGATTTAAAAAACAAAAACCCCTGTGACTCAAAGAAAGTTTGAGAACCTCTGTGTTAGAACATATTTTGCAGATGAGGCACTTAGGAAGTGGAGGATTTGTTCTGGACTAGAGCTATCGTTATTGGATGATGGTTGCTGGGATATCTTTAACCTCATAAAACCACAGGGTTTGGTTCACAGCCATACCCTGTGGGAAATCCCGTTGGTGAGGAGGTCTGGAGAGCATCCTAAACCAGGCTTGCTCAATGTCTGGTCTGCTCAACATCAATGTCTTTTGCCTCCCTCATATTATTCTAGGCAGCTGTAAACATAGTTCTGATACCCCTTTTCCGCAACCCCCACCACTGGCACAAGACTAAAGAATTCAACTAGTTGTAGATTTCATATGTCATGAGCTTCTGAAAATAAGGAGCTTCTGAAGATAAGGACCTTTTCATCTTCCAGCACTTTGTACATAGTAAATGTTCAGTTAACAGGACTGAATTCATTAAAATTTGGACATGATAGGAATCCTCCCTTATCCAAAACTTCTGCTTGACCCTGCAAGCAGATGGCATGCTTGATTAAAGGACTATCGTAATTAAGTGTCCTGCCTCATAATCAAGTGTCCTTACTGATAATGTGCTAGTGTGGAGATACAGAAGAGATTATAGTCTTAGTTTACAGTGGGAGAAAGCTAACTTAAGAATCAGCTGAAGTTCTCCCAGAACATTGCATGAAACCCAAGCCGGAGGCTGGGGTGTAACTGTCATCTCCTTAAAACTGTTATTCAAATTTCCATGAAGATTGTTTTAATTATGATAATTGCATCTCTGCCATCAATGAATTTGACTTGTTAGCCTTTTGAGTACCACACCCAGCAGAGCTTTGCCTATTAGGCCCACAGTGCTTGAGAGCCACGAGAGCTGCACCCAGTATTCAGATTCTATGGCAGATAATGGGTGAGACGCAGATAATGGGGAGAAGAGTTTCTTGGTTGTTCTCAGGTTGGCACTTGCTTTATCAATATACCCTTATAGAATAACATTTCCTTGTACAAAACTATTACATTCCTTGTCCAAAGTACTGTCATCTCATTAATATCAAAAAGATGTAGTTTTTAAAAATATACCTTCCCAACAATCTCTAATCAGTAGCTTAAAAGGTTTTTTTGGGGGGCCAGAAAGATAGAACAGTGGCTAGGTACTTTACATACTATTGACTTACTTTCAGTCCTTGGCACCACATATGGTTCCCCAAGCCCTGCCAAAAGTGATCCCCGAGTACTGCCTGGTACTCCCCTCATCATCAATTATTTTATTATAAAGCTTTCCCACTTCTGCTAATCTGTCTTTTGAGTTGCTGACAAAAACAAGTGATGGTACCAGTTCCCTTGCTGTAGCAAGTTGAGTAAAGAACTCTTCCATGTTTTTATTTGAGGCGATCTTTGTTTCTAGTTTTTTCTTTTTTAAATTTTTCCTTTCACTATTTTTTAAATTTTTTTATGATATCTCATTATCTCATTCCTACTCTGGACAAACTTGCAGGCTATCGAATATAGCCTGCCCACAGGGCAGAGTCTGGCAAACTCCAAATATGCCAAATACCAGTAACAATGATGGGTCTCATTCTCCTAAAAAGCCTTGAATATAATCTCAGGGCTAGGATGAAAGAGACGTTACTGGGGCCTGCTCGAGGCAATCGACGATTAACAGGATGATGAATGAATGAATGAATGAATTTTTAAAATTTTATTCTCATAAGGTTGTTTACATTGATTACATTCAATATTTCAACACCAATCTCACCCCCATTACACCTTCCCACCACCATTATTTTGATTTTTCCCACCACTGTTCAAGCCTGCCTGCCACAGGCAGGTTCTAAATAATTTATTTTCCATTGCTTATTATGAATATCATGTGAGGCTGCGTGCTTCTGGAATTCTAAATATGTAAATGATTGGGGTCCAGAGACATCTCTGTAGGGGGTTAATCCATTTTGAGATTCATTTGTGAGTCTCTGGATCAAAGCTTGCTTAGTTATGGCCTGGAGGCAGTTTGTGGGCAGTGACAGCCAGGACCCTGAAGGGGTAGGTGGGGAGACAGAAAGGGATGAATCCTCTCTGCCGCCTTGTGGCCTGTCATCTTCAGACCCTATTCCCACATACCTGGGTTTTTCTTCTGAAAGTTTGTGGCCACCTGGGGTTCATATGGAGTGGGCGGAGAGGCAACACCTGCTCCATCTGAGGAGCTCTGGTGAAGTCGGCTTGGCATATTGTGGGGGCAGGGGTCTCCGAAGAGATCTCTGGTGAGCTGCTGTATTCTGGGATTCAATGCTGCATCCTGTTTCTAGCTTTCTGAAGAGTCCCCTCCAAGATACAGTACACATTGCTTGTTGCTTAGTCCTCGTCAGGTTTGGTACCCAAAGATCCCACAGAGATTCTTACTTTACCAGACCTGCAAGGATGTAGTCAATCCAGTTCAATCTGCCCTGCCCTCTGCTGAGTTAAGTTTCTTGGCTGTTCTCAGGTTGGCACTCATTTTATCAATTTTCAGGAAGCATCTTTGATGGAATTAGGCCACTCACTTCACTTTCATCTGTTTTGGTATGTTCTGGTTCATACCCGGCAGTACTGGGAGGGGGAGTAGAGAGGGGTCGCTTACATCAGTGCTCATGGGACCATACAGAGCCAGGTCTTGAACCTGGGCTCCTGATTCCAAACCATGTACCCCAGCTTTTTGAGCTATCTCCCAGGCCCTTGTTCTTATGTCTTTTGTTGCTGTCATTTGTGTAACTGTCTGTGCTATCTAAATGTGTTCTATTCATAAAGAGAATGATTATTACAATCAACTAATTGTACCCTAGGTCATTCTAAATTTGAATGCAAAAACCTTTATAGGATGGTGATCCAAATTACTTGCTCCCTATGACAGAACAACAGAGATGTCGACTTGGAACCTCCTAATGTAAAGTCTGATTCTGGCTTTCTGTCGTGAACAATCTTCTAGATCTCCACATGTTCCTAACAAGATTTGTGGTCAGGATGCCTGGACTATTTCCTTCAGACTAACATCTCAGGCACATTAAGAATAGCAGTCAAAGGTCTGTCTGTACATAGACAATTAAATTCTATAAATTACCACTGAACACTAAGATTCAGAAACAAGCTTCAAAATGAAACCACCTTTAATTATCTAGAACTCTCCTTGGGGCTATTAGTGGTCTGTATTAGTGGTTTACATAAACAGTCATAATAGTTTCTTATTGGTAGCTACACTTACACAGGATTGTGAGAAACATTTTCACTCGGGGGCTGGAGCAATAGCACAGGGGGACTGGACTGATAGCACAGCGGGTAGGGCATTTGCCTTGCATGTGGCCAACCCAGGTTTGATTCTCAGCATTCCATATGGTCCCCTGAGCACCACCAGGAGTGTTTCTCTTTCTTTCTTTCTTTCTTTATTTCTTTCTTTCTTTCTTTCTTTCTTTCCTTTCTTTTTTAAATTTTTTTATTAGTGAATCACCATGAGGTACAGTTACAAAGTTATGAACTTTCGTATTTCAGTCATACAATAATTGTTTACCCATTCCTCCACCAGTGTCCATTCTCCTCCACCAATGTTCCCAATCACCACCCCCATCCCATCCCCGCCCCCCACCCCACCCCACCTATGTGGCAAGGCATTCCCTTTAATTCTCTCTCCTTTTGGGTGTTGTAGTTTCCAATAGAGGTATTGACTGGCCATCGTGTTTGGTCTATAATCTACTTTCGGAACGCATCTTTCAACCCAAATGGGTCCTCCCAACATCCTTTACTTGGTGTTCCCTTCTATATCTGAGCTGCCTTTCCCCCAAGCATGTGAGGCTGGTTTCCAAGCTGTGGAGCAGACCTCCTGGTCCTTATCTCTACTACCCCTGCGAATTAAT